AGCTCCCGGGTTTTCCTGGAGCTGGGAAGGAGGCAGAAGCTAGGGTGATCTCTCTCTCTCTCTCTCTCTCTCTCTCTCTCTCTCTCGCAGCCTCTGCGGGTGAGCACGGACTTGGGAGGGGGTTTGGTCAAGGTTGGTAGCGAGGCGGGGGTTCCGAGGACCTCAGCCACCTGACTGCTTGCTTTCTTGGGACTTCTGTGGGGTGGGGAGGTGGGCCAGGGGCAGGGGGTGGGGGGTGGGAATGTCTTTTATTGCCCTGATGTTTTGTTTTGTTTTTTTTTTCCCCCAGCCAACAATAAGGGGTTATAGATCTGAAATTTCTCTGTGAGAAAGTCTGGAGGGGGTCAGGCCTGGTATCCACTGCCTCCTCCGGGGAACTGAGTCAGTACCGCCTGCCAGCATCTTGGTTCTCCGCTGTGCCCCAGCTGCCCACTGTCTGGCCACCGGCGGGCGCTGGAAAGGGAAGTGGAGGGAGGCAGTGGGGACTGCTGGCAGAGAGGAGGTGGCCGGAGTGGGAGCTCACGTGAGAGCCATGCTCATGGACATACATTCACCTCTAGAGTAATTCACTGATTGATTGATCCGTTGGAAAGTTAACCCGAGCCAGTATCTCTCCAGACTTTAGTGGACCTGAGTCAGAGGGCATCATGTGGAGGCCACCCTCAAATCTCAGCTGGGAGCCTGCAGAGTAGGCTTTACTTTTTTTTTTTTTTTTTTTTAGTATTTTTTGGACCCACTACTCACTACTACCAATCCCCTGGTATGACTGGGGATTTTGTTTTTGTTGGCTCAGGAGCTCCCCCTGGAGGTCAGAGGTGCAAAATGTGCCCAAGGACCAGAGCGCCTCCCTACCCCACGGCCTGTGTCTGCAGGCAGAGGAGGGGTTCCCAGTAGATCCGGCCCCCTGCCTTTCCTCTCCAGAGTACCAGTGGTCTGTAAGGGCCTCCTCTCTCCTCTGGTTCCCCACCTGTTTTGCGATCTTAAAATCATTGTATATAATATTCATATAAATATATATATATATGGAGAGAGAGGAGAGTGTTAGTGATGGTGTGTAATTTTTATTTATCAGAACTTGGTGGCCTTTATTGTGAGTTTTTTCCTTTTTTTTTGCTTTGTTTTGTTTTCGTGGGGGAACCTCCTGCTGGTTCCCTGTAAAAGTCTGGCTGAACGTCTTCCATTCCCAGCATCTCTTAGCCAGATAGTCCCTTGTTAGGTATGTGAAGGGACGAGGTTTCGGAGGAGAGATCACCCACTTCCTCTCCTTCTCACTGACCCTTGTTCTAAAGGTTACAGGGTTCAAACATATCAGATTATTATTGTTGTTATTGTTATTGTTGTTTTATTTTTATTTTAACCAAAGGTTATCAGAGCCAGTTGGGCTTGGACCTCAGCTGCTGAAAAGATTTTCCGTTTCTGGGAGGGTGGGAAACCAGCCACCCGCCCCCCCCACCCCCCAGGCCTCCTCTGCCCAGGGTGAGGGAGGCATCGAATGCCGTGGGCAGGTGGACAGAATGGAAGCCTGCCTCAGGGTGGTGGGAGGGTGACAGACCTATCTTTAGAATTAAGACAGTAAGGCAACAATATAAGTATTTAGGGGGTAACTACGGTTACCGTGGTGATTGCTGTCCAGTAGTGTTATTTTTCCTTCCCCCTTGTATACATAGGATATTTGTCTTTGGGGACTAGGGTACTCTGAATTTATCTAGGAAGTATGGAAGTGGCAAGGGCCAGGGTCAGATGCTGGCCAGGAAGATCCGTCCTGCTGGTTCTCATAGCTGCTCTCCCTGGGGAGCAAGGATTTGGGGCTGGTGGATGGGAGGACAGCAATTCTCATAGCTGCTCTCCCTGGGGAGCAAGGATCTGGGGCTGGTGGATGGGAGGACAGCAAGAGTTTTAGTGACCTGCCTCCCGGGTGTGGTCCTGGGCTTAGGCCTGGCTGCTTCCCTCCCCACCAAGTTCTCGTTTGAGTTAGTTGCCAGTGGGCCCCGCTTGCCCCCTTTGCCGTGGGCTCACAGCTTGCCAAGAAAGACCCCAACGCTCGCTGGGGCAGCACCAGGTCCAGTTGGGACCAACTGGTCCGTCCTTTGTAAAGATGTAAATACTTAATTTTGGTTTTCTATCTCTTAGCCCGGTGTCACATTGACACTGGTGTTTCAGAATTGTTCTCAGATGGGCTCTCCTGTGCTGCCCTCTTTGGCTCTCCTATTTTGGGGGGTTTTATAAAAAGAGAGGGTTGGGGAGGGGCAGGGAGAGCAGCTTCCTTTGGGCTCCCTGATTGTGGAACACACACACACACTTCTGAGATTCTGAACAGGGAAAAAAAATGATTGACAAGTAAACACATTTTGTTTCCTTGTGGCAATATGTCTAGAGGTCTCTGGCCTGTCCATCATGGACTTAGCTCCTTGGATGTAGCTCAGATGACCTTTGGAGAATCAAACCACTTTGGCTTGGGATGGGGGAGAGGGTGTGGGGCAGGGGGTCATATAAGGTGTAACTTAAGCTAAATGTAATCTATTTATAAAGCAAGAGACTCTCATCTATTTTTATGAAAGGAAAGGTTTTTTTAAAATCTAGGGTAGGCAGTTATGGTAGCCCAGCATTTTTCTGTGGACAAGATGCATGTTGCTGCTGGATTTAATATAAGCAGTACCCCTCACCTTTTCTCCGCATCCTCACCACCTGCTCATTCATACCCATGGGCAGCTTCAGCAGGGCAAAGGTCACCCCTCACCCCATTTCTCTGTCCCTTGATACCCCAGCTCCTTGGCCATTGGAAGGCCAGGGGGGCGGGCACTTGTGGTAGTGGGCGGGCAGTGGGGAATTCAGAATGGAGTAGGGTGGTGGGAGGGAAAGGGGGCGCTGGGTGGGGGACAAGCTCTGCCTCAGAGGGTGGGCTCTGGTTACTTGCTCCAATTCTGGTCTGCCAAGATCCATTGCCAAGTCAACTGTATTTGGGAGAGAGCTGAGAAATGAGTGGAAGATTTCCAGGCTCGGGGTGGGCTGTGTGTTAGTCTCGGGCAAATCCCTCACCATTCCCCCTGCCAAGCCCTCAAAGCATTGAGGTAAAGGTACCCTCCGCCCATAGACTCCTTCGTGGACATTTTCGCATCTACCTTATTATTAGCCCCATCTGGGGAGACTCTATCCCGAAGTCCCATCCCACCCCACTGTTGCTGTTTGTCTGCCAGCTGGGTCTAGCGTCAAGGGGAAGGGGGGGTTTATACTCATTGAAAGACTACTGACCCTACCGGAAACCAACCTGTTTACTGTATTGTTGTAAATATCATGCCCTTTATATCCTGTATATTGGCTTCTTTTAAATAAAGTGAAATGTCTTAGAATTGATGCTTTTTTTTTTAAATTAAGGATAAAGTGGTGATGGGGGAGGGGCAAGAGGCCACAGGCCACATAAACACTAAAAGTCATCAACCAATTAGTGATCAATACCGAAATTCTACATCACCTCACATCTCACAATAAAATCTTTGGAAGTAGTTAAAGCAGGAATTATTATACATATTTCATAGAAGGGGAAGAGAGCCAGAGAGATCACAGACTGAAGAACTAGCATAGCCTGGTTTGGAACTGAGGGCCTATTAATCATATTGCCCTCTGAATCTGCAAGTTTTCCATTCTCCGATGGAGCAAGCTAACTGTCTTGTGCCATCTTATGTAAGTGACTGGTATCCGTGGATTTTGGTATCTGCAGGGGCTCTGGAAACCAATCTCCCACCAGAGGAGGACTGAAGTTTCCTTTCCCACTCCCCACTCTTTTGTTTATATTCTCCAAAGTGCCTTAAAGAGTGTGGCCTCCCAGATAAAGAGGAGTAATAATGAAATAATGAGGAAGTTCTAAGGTGGGTATTATTACCCCCACTTTACAGACACAGAACTGAGGCCCAAGAAAGTCACATATTTCGTCAACGTCACAGGGAGAAACCACGATCAGCATCGGAACTCTGACTCCTAAGCAGGTTCTCGGTACACACCGCTGGAGAAAATACTGATACATTAGAACAGAGCGTTGGGAAAGTTGTTAACAGTACTTCAGGAATAGAACGGGCCCCTAAGAGTCCATCCTCAGAACTTCAGAATCTGAGTTGTTAATATTAAGTTCATGTGTTTGTGCAAACAACTTCCCAGAGAGAAGATTCAAATTTTTGTCCGGGGCGCCAAAATAAAGCAGAGGAATAAAACGGATTCTGCGTCCAGAGCTTTGAAGGGAAGTCCGAGCGCAGACTGGCTCGGGTTTTATCTTACACTGATCGTAATCTGCAAGGAAGTAGACCGATTTGTCCAAGCGTTATGCCTTAGGAAGCTGGGTGGCTCCGCTCCAGGTTGGGAATGGAGGGCGGCTGCGTCCTTACCAGGAGGCTAGAGCCAGGCTGCAGCCCCCGAGGTGAGGCAGGGGGCCGGCCACGACGAGGCCCTCGGCAGGGTGGAAGAGTCTGGCAGCCTCCGGCCAAGGGCAGCGAGAGAGCCCGAGAAGGGCCTCCAGCGGCACCTGACCCACAGACCCCTGCCCTGCCGTCCCGCCTCACAGGTGCCCCGTCCCCGCTCTCTCATTGGCTGCTTCTGCCCCTCTAATCCCGGCCTAAGCAGGTTGCAACTTGACCGCCCCTCTGATTGGTCCCGGAGCTCTCATGGCTCACTCTGATTGGTGGATGGGGCTCACGCCCTTCTGCCCTCGCCCCGGAGGGCGATCGGGTCATACCATAAAGGGAGAAGGGGGGAAACGCGTACGCTTCGGGGCTTCGCTCTTGGGCTGCTTTTCCCTGCGTCACATGATAGCGTCCTTCGTCAGGTCCTCGCGGGAGAATTCTTCTATTAGCACGAGGCAGACACAGAGGAGTTTAGGCTGGACCCGACTTGGAGGGCGGCCGAGGCGGCAGTACCCCCCCCAGCCCGCCGAGGTGGTGCGTTCCAGGCGGGGCAGTGCCGTCCGGTGGCTCCAAGCGGGGCCGGTCCAGCGAGCGGCCGCGCGGGGATCCGGGATGCTGCTGCGTTCGGCCGCGCTCTGCCGCGCCCTGCTGGCCCGCCGGGGGAGGGCGGCCGGGTGAGTGAGCGCCGGGCAGGCCAAGGGGCGCCTGCTGGCCCGGGGTCCCCGGGAGTCGCTGCGCGCCCCGCCCCCCCGAACCGGGCTCCACCCCCGCCCCCGAACTGGGCTCCCTCCGGGCCGGACCCCCAAGCTGAGCTCCACACCCGCCCCCGCACCGGGCTCCACCCCTGTCTCCCAACTGGGTTCCTTCCGCGTCGGACGTCCGAGCCGGGCTCCCTCCGGGCCAGACCCCCTCCGGGTTTCCCAGAGGCTCCCCTCCGCCGGGGGTCGCTTCCTCTGATGCCGCCCGGCACCCACCTCCTCCTGCGATGTCTCCATCTCCCGAAGGTCTTTACGCTAAGGGGTCCTGCCCACCGGTGGGTGGGGTTGGGTGGTCCCCCACGCTAGGAAAGGAGCCGCTTGATCACCTCGTCTTTCTCCGGATGGATAAAGACATTTGCTCCCCGCGGGAGTACAGCCTCCTCCTCTGAGGGCACCTCTATTTTTTTTTTTTTTTTTTAATGCACATTTCGCCTCTCTCCTCCCCACCCTTGGTTTCACATTCAGGACCCTCCCTGGGGTTCCCTCTCTCCTCTGGACTGGCATTTCTGTTTCTCTCTTTTCTCCTTTCCCTTTTTTCAAGTTAAGTGTTGGTCAGAAAAATGGAGAGTACGTGTAACATGCCAAACCTGTGTTGCACACTTGGTCTACGTGCCTTATTGTGATGATTCGTAAGTTACAACACCTGAAGTGCTTTGAAGGGTGCCTGGCAGGAGGCAGTGCCTGTTGCTATTAATCATGATTGTCATTATCACCGGTTTTTAAACTTCACCAGTGGGTAGCTGTTATTCCAAAATTCAGACGAAGACACTGAGTTGTAGTGGTCTGAGTGGAGCTGCCCTGCAAACCCAGTTTGCAGACCCCTCCAGCCTGGAGTGGGATTCCTGGATCCTCACCCTCTCAGTGACAAATGTCCTCAGAGCCCTTTTCTGCACTCCTGGGCTTGGTGGAGGAGGTTAATAGGACACAGATCCTGCCCCAGAGGGGCTCACAGTTGGTGAGGCTGCAGTCCTATGGACCCATGTGTCTGTCCACCTCCCTTTCAGAGCTGGGCAGCTCTGGCCCCAGTTTGAGTTTTGTTTGCCTAACCTCTCGGACTGATCAGTTACATCCCCCTGCTAAGCTATGCCTTTCCCGAGTTAATCAGTGTCCCAAGGAATGGTACCGGCTGCCCTGAGCGCGGATGCGTTTCAGGGCAGCTGTGTGTGCTGTGGGGGTGGGTGGTGGGATAGGGAAGAGGACAAGGACAAAGACTTTCCAAGCTGAGGCTGGGGGCCCTGCTCACTGCATCCTCAGCGTGGTCTCATTTGCAGGCCTTTCCCTGCATTCTGAGACCACCCCTCTCAGACCCTGATGGAAGCCACATAGATCCACGTGTTTACTGGGTATCTACCGTGTGCACGTGGTGTGCTAACCACTGTAGCAAGGGGTACCCAGGATGGGAGGCTTCCAAGAGTTTTCAGTTTAATGTAAGAAAGCCTTAAAAAAACAAACCAAAAAGCCCTCTAATGTCTGGTATAAAAACACCTCTATTCTGGGGGAGGTGGGGGCTGGGGGAGGGCACGGTGGACGGAAAGCTCATAACAGCAGTAGTTATCAAGCAATCAAGTACCATAGGCCTGGCCTTGTGCAGATAAGCCCTGTTTTATTACCGTTTTACTGATGGGAGACTTATCTGCCTGTTAAAAATGTTGAGACTAAGGGCTTCCCTGGAGGCTCAGCAGTTAAAGAATCTGTCTGCCAAAACAGGAGATGCGGGTTCAATCCTTGGGTGGGGGAAGTGGCAACCCATTCTAGTATTCTTGCCCGGGAAATCCCAGGGACAGAAGAGCCTGGTGGGCTTACAGTCCATGGGGGTCGAAAAGAGTTGGAAATGACTCAGTAACTAAACGACACCAATAAAATTACCCTCTGTCTGACTCCAGGCTCATGCCTCCTGAGTGGAGAAAAAGCATTTTGCAACCAGATCTGCTGGCTCAGGTTACCTCTTTGGATATAGCAGCTGGCTCGATGCCCCAAGACAGGGTTTCCCAACCTCAGCAGTATTAACGTTTGAGTCTGATAATCCTTTGCTGTGGGGGCTGCCTGTGTATTGTAGAATGTTTAGCAGCATCCCTGGCATCTACTCGCTGGATGCCATAGCATCCCCCAGTCATGACAACAAGAAAAGTCTCCAGGCATTGCCAGATGCCACTTGAGTGGGTCACTCCTGGTTGAGAACCGTGGTTCTAGAACAGTTTCGGTGTTTGGCCACTTGTTTAACTGTTTGACAGATACCTAGCATATACCGGTGGTATGCCATGTCTGCATTTATGGAGAAGCAGGTTTAGAACATTTTTAGTGATAACTCTCAGTGTCCTATACATGAAATTCTAGTGCTGACAAAAACCATCTCTTAGAAAACTGGGATGGGTGATGTTCTGTAGTGTTTCCCTTTTTGCCTGGAGTGCCAGGAATCTCAACCAAGTTTTAAACATACTTTTTTTTTTTTTGAAGTGATTTGTTCAGTTGCCTAGTCGTGTCCAACTCTTTGCAACCCCATGGACTGCAGCATGCCAGGCCCGTGTCAGGGTCTTTTCCAATGTGTCAGCTCCTCGCATCAGGTGGCCAAAGTATTGGAGCTTCAGCTTCAGCATCAGTCTTTCCAATGAATGTTCAGGTCTGATTTCCTTTAGGATTGACTGGTTTGATCTCCTTGCAGTCCCAAGGGACTTTTGAAGTGGTGGTCACTTATTATTGTTATTTTAAAATATTTATTTATTTATTTGGCTGCGTCGGGTCTTAGTTGTGTCATGCGGGATCTTTCATTGCAGCCCATGGACTCTCTTGTTGTGGTGTGCTGGCTTGGTTGCTCTGTGGCATGTGGGATCTTAGTTACCTGACCAGGCATTGAACCTTTGACCCCCTAGATTGCAAGGCAGATTCTTAACCACTGGACCACCAGGGAAGTCCCTAAACACATTCTTGACTGTGCATTTTCTTTGTATTTAATTAGTATGAGTCCACTGTACAAAGAAGCAAAAAAGGTGAGGAGGGTCACTTGGCAGCTCACCACATGGAGGTAACCACGCTGTTACTTCGACGACTAGCCTTTTCATGGTCCAGGAGTATATATGCTTTAGAAAAACAACATAAAAATGGGCTCCTCTGCAGATCCCTTTTGGTAGCTTGCTTTTTCAGTTGAGACCTACCTCCCTTAATATATGTCCCCAGGCCCTAGGGCTGTGACTGGCACCCGGTGAGCCCTCAGCAAACATTTGGTGAATGAAAGAATGACCACGTGATTCCTTCCTTGTCAACAGAAGTTTATCACGGCCAGTCTGGGAGATCATGATGGCAATGAGCAGCTGGCCTTTACGGATGGGCCAGGGATGGTCACTCAGGTCTACTGTGTACCTTTGGGGCAGGTGTTTTACTTAGCTGCTCAGCAGCCTGTGATGTAGGTGTGTGCCTAGTCGCTCAGTTGTGTCCAACTCCTGGAGACCCCATGGACTGTAGCCCACCAGGCTCGTCTGCCGGTGGGGCTTCTCCAGGCAAGAACACTGGAGTGGGCTGCCGTGCCCTCCTCCAGGGATCTTCCCGACCCAGGGATCGAACCCAGGCCTCCTATACTGCAGGCAGATTCTTTACCAGAGGCGCCCACGAATACTGGAGTGGGCTTCCCGCTGCAACCCAGGGGTCGAACCTGCGTTGACGGCAGAGGAGTCTACCACGGAGCCACCGGGGAAGCCCTCCAGGCGCCTAAGTGCAGATCCTGCCTTGTCACTCCTGAGCTGTGACCACCAGCCGTTACTCTCTGAACCTCAGCTTCCTCCCCCACCCCTTCCACCCGTCCAAAGGGATGCAGTGATAGTTTGCAGGGTAATACATCTGTAGGGTCATCACTTAGCACCACACGAGGCATGCCATAAATGCTTCAGAAAAGTTCCCTGAGGTTTTCCAGGGCAGCTTATCCTGAGCTTCAGGCTCTGCACTTTCTCTCAGGTCTCCTCCACCCGAAGTCCCTTATCTCAGTGATTAGGAGGATTGGTCTTATCAGGTCTCAGATAACAGCCCAGAAGCTGAAGGGAGGAAGGGCGCTTTCCTTTCTAGTCCTCTGCTTGGCCTTGGCTGCCCCGACCCCAGCTCCTGGGGACCCGCCTCCAGGAGGCCAGTCCTGGGGGCCTGGTGTCCACCCATGTGCTTGTTGTTTTGGGGGTGTTCCTTAGATGCTCGCCGTGGTCTGGGCAGTGGGGGCACAGACAGTCCGAGCTGTGTGATGAGGGCTGTCATCTGTGAGGTGATCTGATAGTTTGGGCAAGGCTAGTATCCCCTGCAGAGGGGGGGAGGGGAGGGGAGGGAAGACCAGGATGGCCGGACTGCGGCTGACGGCTGACGAGGTGGGAGGGGGTGGGGGCGATGGGAAATGAGCCTGGAGGCCTCAGTAAGGATTCCGATTCTTTATTGTAGGAGAGAGAAGCCACTGAGTAGTTTTGAGCTGAGCCCTTAGCCTTTACCTCTCTGCGTTGATGACGTTTTCATGTTAAAGCTATGAAAACTGGTAGCTGCTGCCTTTTGAGCTCCTGTCCTGGGTGGGACAAGGGCTGGTTTGGGCTTCCCTGGCGGCTCAGCTGGTGAAGAATCCGCCTGCAATACGGGAGCCCTGGGTTCGATCCCTGGGTTGGGAAGATCCCCTGGAGAAGGGAAAGGCTACCCACTCCACTACTCTTGCCTGGAGAATTCTTTGGGCTGTATAGTCCATGGGTGACTTTGACTTTCACAGCCTTTTTTCACCTTTTGAACTTCTGCTCTGGGTGGGACAGGGGCTGTTTATTCTGGTGGTTTCAAGAGGAGTTTGGAGCCAGTGGAGCCGGCGTGGCTGTTGCAGTTGTGCAGGCGGAAGCCCATGGCGCCTTGGACCAGGGTGGAGACCTGGGGGCGACCTGGGGGCGACCTGGGGGCCCAGGCCCCTCTGCTTCCCGGCAGTTTCCCCTTTGTACATTTCAGAGCTCAACGTTCCTCGTTGCAGGAGGTGTTTTGGTCTTGCAGCCTTTTTAGCTCAGATCCTAAAAGAATGGGTGGGTCATCCCATGCAGAGGATGGGTCAGAGTAGCTGGGGTCTCAGACCCAGCCAGTGAAGTCACCAGGTGAGAAACGGCACCCCAGGTGGTTAGGGGAAACTGAGTCAAATCCCGACTCTGCCTTACGTTTGTTTCCTGAAGCAGGAGGGCTGAGAGCTGCTCTAAGAAGGTCGGGATGGACTCGCCTTTGCATCCCAGAGCCAGGTACCTGCCAGGTGTGATGAACACGTGGGTGGGTGAAACCTTTGACCTCATCTGAGCTACCTCTGCATTCTTGCCTTGTGGGAAAGATGTATGCTGATTGCGTGAATGGATAAGTGAGGAGTACAGTCTTGCCTGTAAGGGCCTTGCAGGTCATTGTAAAAGCCCCGAGTCCTCCAAGCGCTACACTCTGCCTTCCCCTGAACCAGTGGAAGGGTGCTCATGTTATCCCAAAGCGCCCATGAGCCAAGAAAAAAAAAAAGGCTTGTCAGGCATCCCTAGATTATTTTTGGCTTAGTTGACTCAGGGTCTCAGGCTGCTCTTTGAACTAGTATCTGCTCCCTTCGTTACATTCAGACAGATGGACAGTCCGACGGACAGTGGGGCCAGGGGCTGGACACTTTGCAAACAGCCAGCCAGCCGTGGGGGCATGTGATCCTGAGGTCACAGTGGACCTCTGCCCTGGGGAAGACTTACCCTGCTTCTGGTGCTGCCTGGGGCATGGGAGCGGAGACGGAGCCACTGGGCTTCCTGTGTCCTGCCGAGCTTCTGCCCCGGGTGGGACCGGGGGCTACATTTATTCCAGCAGTGTTTGCTGAGCCCCTGGCCCAGCCCCTGCTCCTTGGGAGTGTCTGGGAACCAGTTTGCCTTAGAAAGCCTGGCCTGGTGGAGTCAACCTTTACAGTTTCTTGGGAAAACCTAAGAGCAAAAAGAGTAAATAAGGCTTGTCATCCTCACAGTACCCTGCAAGGAACATGGTGTCACCCATTCTTCGGATGAGAAAACAAAGGCCTGAGGCATTTTTATAGTGTAGTGTGATCCTGTAGTGAGGTCTCCAGCGGGCGTGGGGGTTCGTCCAGGATGTCTGCTTCCGGAGCCTGTGCTTTTCACACCCGCCAGGCCCTGGGCTCCAGAGAGGGCTTGGGCGGCCCACCTCCTGGTGCCCGGCCGAGAGCACGGCGGCGCTCTCCTGGCTTGAAGAGGACAAGGTGACATCTGATTCACTGCTTTCTGGTGGTTCACTGCTGCTACTGGGTGCCCGGTGGCTCAGATAGTAAAGAATCTGCCTGCAGTGCGAGAGACCTGGGTTCCAGACCGGGGTCGGGAAGATGCCCTGGAGGAGGGCATGGCAGCCCACGCCAGTGTCCTTGCCTGGAGAGTCCCACGGACAGAGGAGCCTGGCGGGCTGCAGTCCACGGGGTCACAGAGAGTCGGACACGGCTGAGTGACTTACACCCACGACTCCTGCCAAGGCCCAGGGAGGCGTCTGGAACCTTCCAGATGGTGGAGGCTGGGGAAGGGGAAGACACTGCCCTCCTCTTTCCTGCCAGGATGTTGAGACCCGCGGCTACTGGAGTTTTCCAGCCTCTCCAGCCTTCCCCACCGCAGCCGTGGATTTCCATTAGTTGCGCAGGCCTGTAGCTCTGCCCTGTTCTCTCTTCAGACCTGTAGGGAACCCCAGGAGATGGAGGTCCCCCGTGGGCACCAGGCCTCACCGCTCACCAGAGGCCCAGCTGGCCCCGAATTGCATTTCTTCCTGTTTGGGGCAGGGTGGGGCCTGAGGAATGCGAGCTTCTTGGGTGTGGTGGGTGCAGCTGGGGCTCACAGGGAGGAGAGGGAGGAGAAAGCCCCAGGGCTCATGGCGGGGGTCCTAGGAGACCAGCCCTGCCCCCGCGCCCCCTCCACTGCACAGGCCCCTTCCTGCTCTTCCTGACTTGTCCTCCCTGCAGGGCCTTTGCCCTTGGTCTTCCCCCTGCCTGGAACACTCTTCCCAGCTCTTCTCAGACCTCCTCCAGGCCTCCGGCCGAGGCCACCTCCTCCGTGAGGCCCTCCCGGACCACCCTGCTGAAGCAGCCCCGCTCTCCTCCTTCCTTAGTTATTTTCTTGTCCTTTCAGTCGCGGGCTTCCCCAGTGGCTCAGACGGTAAAGAATCTGCCCACAACGTGGGAGACCTGGGTTTGATCTCTGGATCTAGCAGATCCCCTGGAGAAGGGAACGGCTACCCACTCCAGTATTCTTGCCTGGAGAATCCCATGGACAGAAGAGCCTGGTGGGCTGCAGTCCACGGGGTCACAAAGGGTCAGACACGGCTGAGCGACTAACACTTTCACTTTTTCAGTCACAGTTGTGTTTCTTTTTTTTTTTACTTTTTATTTTTACTTTGGCTGCACCCTGAGGCGGCACGTGGAGTCTTAGTTCCCCAACCCAGGACTGAAGCCGCGCCCTCTGCTGTGGGAGCTTAGAGTCTTAGCCACTGGACCGCCAGGGAAGCCGGTGTGTTCCCTTCTTGCCCGTGTCCTGCACCGGAGGCTGGCCGCGTGCAGTCAGAGGGTCACTGTCTCGGTCACTGCTGTCCCTCCAGAGACGAGCAAGCTGCCTCGCAGCCTGGTGGGATCAGCAGGGACCTGCCCATACAGCCTGGTGTGATGTCCTTCCTCCTGGCCTCCCAGGCTGGGTCTTGGAGCCCCAGAGCCCTTCTCAGTGAGGAAGGAAAAAAAAAGTGCCGGACCTTCTTGGCCAGACTGTTTGGTTCTCTCGCGCGTAAGCTGTCCCGGGGGCTGTGATGAGGTGGGCAGGCCAGGCTGCTTCAGACTGCCCAACAGAGGTCTCGGTGCCCCCCTGATACCAGGCAGCCCCCGCCTGCCCAGGGAGGAACTTCTACCTTTCACCCCACGGTGGAGTTGCCGCACTTGCTGACCAGAGCCAGCCCCCGCGTCCTTAGCCCTCCCCAGATCAGCCGCCCTCACCCCGGTCCTGCAGCGGGCTCCCCCTTGCACCCCACCCCGGAGGCGTGCCGTCCTGCCCGTGTGCGTGACCGGGAACCGACTGCTCCACCTGCAGGCGTGTTGACACCAGAGGGAGACAGAGCTGGGTTTTTCTGTGCTCAAATCTAGGTTTCTCTTGATCTTGGCCTTGAACGAGTCCTTTTCCGTTTAGGACCTAAGTTACTGTATTCCTGTTACAGGCCACCGGCGAGGCCCTTGCGGTGCCACCATGACTATGGAATCTGACGTTCCCCGTGTGTCCTCGGGGCCTGTGTCAGCACTCCTGTCCTTGCTTACAGCTGGGGAAGCTCAGGCCTGGAGGGGAAGGCCTAGGGCTGAGGTTCCTCCAGCTCGGGAATGACTGACTCTTTTTTTTCTTTTTTGAAAAATTTTAAGGATGCATTTATCACAACTTTTTTCATTTAAGTGTATGTTATTTTGTATAACGTTTTGTATACATATTTTGTATATATTTTTTCATTTGAGTATATGTGATATAAAATGGTATTTTTTATATACCATTTTTATATACCATTTTCACCTATATATATATATATACACATTCTTTAATATCCTTTTCCATTATGATTTATCAGAGGATACTAAGTGTAGTTTCCCATGCTGTACAGTAGGACCTTGTTTATCCATTCTACGTGTAATAGCTTGGACTTAACCTGGTGGCTCAGTGGTAGACAATCCACCTGCCTATGCAGGAGATGCAGGTTCGATCCGTGGGTGGGGAAGATCGCCTGGAGGAGGAGGAGGCACCCCACTCCAGTATTCTTGTCTGGAAAACTCCATGGCTAGAGGAGGCTGGTGGGCTGCTGTCTATGAGGCCCCAAAGAGCCGGACATGGCTGAGCATGCACACACATGCAACAGCTTCCATCTGCTAACCCCAGCCTCCCTCCTCAGCCTCCCCCAGTCCCCTGGCCTCCAGCCCACGAACGGAATGACTGACCCACCTGTCCCTCTTACCCACCTTGGGACCCCCAAACACATGAGGGACGGCGCCACTGGTGGTCACTGATCAGTGAGGTCATGGGGTCAAGGGTGAGTAGGGTCTCCAGAACAAGGAGCTCTTGGCATTCAGTCCCCGGGAATCAGACCCTGAACGCCCAGAGCAGCCCTCCCCGTGGCTGCAGGCCGTGCTCGGGGCACCGCTCCAAGTTCACGGCCTGCCTCTTGGGTGTTCTTGCCCAGCCGGAGCTCAGGTCCTGGTGCCACGGAGTTCTCGGCTGGTTCCCGTTCGAATGAGACTGAGCTGTGGAATGTGCTGACTTTTCTACTTAGAGAAAGGAGTAACTTGGGTCTGTTGGGGAGAAAGCCCGCCTCGTGGGGATATAGAGGGAGACCAAGGCTCTTTATGTGAAAAACACCAAGGCGTGGTTCTGCACTTCTGAGTTTCAACTTCAAGCAACCGTGTGAGTTTCTGTGGTTGTTCTCATTTAGGAAATGGAGACATAGGCTCAGAGGAGGCAGGTCAGATGTCTGAGGACTCACAGGAACAGGACCTGGGCTTGAACTTTGGTTTTGGACTCCAAGGCCGGTTCTCATCCCCCGGTTCTATAATGGGTTTGGATTTCAAGGTTATGGGCCAGCCCAGGTCGCCCCGTCCAGGATGGGGTTGCCAGGGCTGGCGCTGCTGACCTGCGCGCCTCTGTTCTCCACCAGGCTGTGTTGGAAGCACGTCTCCTCCCTCCACGTGGCCAACGAGCCCGTCTTGGCGTTCACGCGGGGCAGTCCCGAGCGAGATGCGCTGCAGAAGGTAACGGGGGGCAGGGAGGGGCACCCAGCGGTGCCTGGAGGGCTGCGTGCAGGCGGCCTTCAGCAGCTCCCACGAGAACTCTCTGTACCTCTCTTGCCCCTGCCCCCAGCCCCGGGGGCAGGTGGGAATCTGGGCAGAGCCGGGCACTGGGTACGGGGGTACCTGGGAGTGGCAGCGTGGCCACCTGGGCCTCTTTGGGGGTCCCAGGTCAGGGGTCATAAGTCTGCAGATAGTTTGTGCTTGGAAACATTCTCTGGGGAATCCCCTGGCCCCATGGTCAGGACTGTGCTTTCACTGCTGAGGGTATGGGTTCCGTCCCTGGTTGGGAACTAAGATCCCACCAGCCACACAGCACAGCCAAAAAATTTCTCCCACTAACTGCCAGGGTTTTAAAATTGTGAGATTTCATGTAGATTTCAGATGCAGTTTTTAAAATCTCTTCTCTAATGGGACCAGCTGGCAACACTGGCCTTGGCTTCTCACAGGCCAGGAGGTGACGGGGTGGGGGCCGATCCCGAGGACGTGTCTCTGCCCGCGCCCCCCTTCTCTCCGGGGCCACTTTGCAGACCCTACCTCAGGGTTTCCGTGGGCAGCGGGAGGGAAGGAAGGGCTCACGTGGCCTCTTGTCCTCTCCCCAGGCCCTGAAGGAGCTGAAGGGCCAGACGGAGGCCATCCCTTGCGTGGTGGGGGACGAGGAGGTGTGGACCTCAGATGTGAGGTACCAGGTGTCGGTAAGTCCAGCGGGCCCGCCGGGCTCGGCCGTTCCCCTGAATCCCGGGGCTCGTAAACACACACCTTGGGGTCTTTGCCTCCAAAGGGGCTTCGAGTCCACCGCGAGCTTTTGAATTCCGTGGACCGGTGTAAAACTTCCAAAGGCAACCTTGGGTGCCGGCCTCACGCCTGCCAAGGGGAGGTTAGAAACAGCAAGTGCCCCCAGCTTCGCCATCGCTTTAAAAAGCTGACCCAGTAACCACCTAGAGAGCGGGAGGCAAGGACAGAGTCAGAATCAAAGCAGATCCTGCCCTTCACAGACACACACTACTCTATACACAACAGACACACGCTACTCTATACACAACAGACACACGCTACTATATACACCACAGACACACGCTACTATATATACAACACATAAGCAACAAGGATTCACTGTATAACATGGAACAATATTCAGTATCTTGTAATAAACTGTAATGGAAAATAATCTGAAAAAGCATATATATATTCAGTTATATATATGTATGTTTAACTGAATCACTTTGCTGCACCCCTGAAACGGCATAATTCTCCCAAAGAAAGGCAGTCACCAAAGCCCTAGTCTGGTTTTGGGAACCGGTGGGCTAGCTGACGATGAGCTCAGCAGAGGTGAGCTCCCAGGCTGTGGGCAATGCCAAGTGTCGCCTCCTCCTGGAAGCCCTCCCACTGGAGCCCGGGCTCCATCCACAGACACATCTGTGAGGCCCTGTCCCCTGTGCGCAAGCTCCTCCTGCCGTCCCTGCCACACCCCTTGGAGGCTGGAAGAGCAGGCGGCTTGCCGCCCATTTTGCAGATCGGGAGAAGCTCAGGCATCAGTGGCTCCCCTGGGGTGGCACAGTTAGACATGGAACAGGGGTGATGGACCCAGGCTTCCCAGAACCATATCCCCTTGATTTTGACTCACTTTTTATTAAAATTTTTTGGCCATGCCTGTACAGCATGCGGGATGTTATTTCCCCAACCAGGAATCAAGCCCATGTCCCCTGCAGTGAAAGGCAGAGTCTTAACCAGTGGGCTGCCATCGCAACCCCGTGATTGAAGTGAATTCATTCACACCGACTGTTTCTGAAGGGGCTTTAGAAGCAGCCTGCTAATTAACGTATGCCAGCAAGATAGTCTTCGTGCTCTGACCTGCCGGTCACAAAATTGTGAGGCCTTGGGCACTTGCTGGAGATGGCCACAAACTTACTTTTAGGCCTCCTGGTTCGCAGGGGAGAGGAGACTGCATCACTGCCCCTAGCCAGAATGTTCCTGAAATACATCCCACCTGTGCAGTCGGAGGAACGCAGACAACTCCTGGGGCTGGGCCCGGGGAGGAAGTTCCCCTGGAGGTGTCAGAAGGACGCAGTGGTGTGGCGAGCAGCGTCCCCACAAGCGTCCTCATCTCCCGCACAGGTGTTCTGTGGGGCCGCTTCTCGCACACTGGCGCCTGGGCATGACATCAAAGCCCGCGCCCGAGGATGCCCAGAGGTCACCCTGCAGACCCCACGTCCACTGCCAGGCTGGGCTTTCCATCTGGAGCTCCGGCTGCAAGTCAGCCGCTGGGAGCTTCCTTTCTGAAACCCAGTGACGGGGCCATTTCATGTATAAATTCAAACGTCCGGCTTCTGTTGGGAGCAGGAAGGTGTGGCCACACCAGCAGTCTCCCTGTGAGCCCAATGCGGGGCCGGCCGCCAGTGCCCCAGGCCCCGCTGCCCCCAGCTCTGTCCGCTCGGCCCTCTCGCCTCTCTGGCCCTTGCAGACCTCTCGGAGCCCCGGCTGGAGCCGGAGCGGGTCTGCGTGTCCCTCCGGCACCCTCCTTCAGCCTTCTTCTCAGCGGGGATTTTGCTAGAAGCGGGGCGGCGGTAAGACAGCCTGCTCTTCCTAACAAGTTCCTGGGCTTGACGGTTAAGAAATGGCATCCACACTTGTGCCCCCAACTGTCCGTCTGTTCAAGGGCGCGAGTGACATTCCCTGGTGACAGCTGGGATCTTGCCCAGGATTCATGGCTGAATGGAAGTCTGCAATCACCTAAGGGTGAATCCCTGGGTCGACTTCAACTTCAGGCAGAGGCCCCATTCCGTCCTTTTTTACCCCTTGTCACGGCAGGGACAGTTTTAGCCCAGAAAAGCTTAAAGCAAATAGCCGCCTTGGCCACACACAAAAGTGGAATGTGTGTATATGTGAGCACACCTGTATATGCGTCCTGATGTGACGGATACACATGGAGTTTCCAGCCTTGTGCGGTGCAGCCAGTCACAAAATAAGTGCCACAGCAGGTAAACGAAGTGCCTTCCTCCTTGGCATTGTTAGCTAGAAACCTGCTTAAAGTTGGAAGACAATTTCAGAAGGGTGACTTTAGCTCTTTCTAGGGGGGTACTTATGGGGCTTCCCTGGTGGCTCAGATTAGGTAAAGAATCTGCCTGTAGGGCGAGAGACCCAGATTCGATCTCTGGGTTGGGAAGATCCCTTGGAAGAGAAAATGGGAACCCACTCCAGTGTTCTTGCCTGGAGAATCCCATGGACAGAGGAGCCTGGTGGACTTGGGGTCACGAAGAGTCAGGAGGTACTTATAAATCATGATAATAAAGCCCATCCATCCATCCACCCATTCATCCAGCCAAGCTGCCTCGGCCCCACACCTCGGGGGGCTGGGTGCCGGGACACAGTGATGAACACAGGGGGCTGGGTGCCGGGACACAGTGATGAACACGGGGGGCTGGGTGCCAGGATACAGTGATGAACACGGGGGGCCGGGTGCCGGGACGCTGCGATGAACACGGGGGGCCGAGTGCCGGGACACTGCGATGAACACGGGGGGCCGGGTGCCGGGATGCTGCGATGAACACGGGGGGCCGGGTGCCGGGACACAGTGATGAACACAGGGGGCTGGGTGCCAGGACACAGTGATGAACACGGGGGGCTGGGTGCCGGGACACAGTGATGAACACAGGGGGCCGGGTGCCGGGACACAGTGATGAACACGGGGGGCCGGGTGCTGGGACGCTGCGATGAACACAGGGGGCCGGGTGCCGGGACGCTGTGATGAACACGGGGGGCCGGGTGCTGGGACGCTGCGATGAACACGGGGGGCCGAGTGCCGGGACACTGCAATGAACACGGGGGGCCGGGTGCCGGGACACAGTGATGAACACGGGGGGCCGGGTGCCAGGATACAGTGATGAACACGGGGGGCCGGGTGCCGGGACACAGTGATGAACACGGGGGGCCGGGTGCCGGGACGCTGCGATGAACACGGGGGGCCGGGTGCCGGGACACTGCGATGAACACGGTAGACGGGTCTGCCCTCACGGAGCCGACCTTCAGGAGAGTGAGGTTGGTGGACGTGTCAGCGAAGGAACAAATGAGACGTTTCCAGATGGTGAGAGGAGCCGTGGAAAGCTCAGGTGATGGGCTGGAGATGTGAAGGTCACTTACAGTGGGGTGGTCCACAGGCCTCTCTGAGGTGAGACCTGAGCTGAACCCCAGGGATGAGGATGGGCCGGGGACTCACTGCCAGCCGAGGGGCCCCCAGGTACAGTCAGGAGGAGGCCGGGGCAGCTGCAGAGCAGGGAGGAAGCCGGTGGGCCCGGAGCATTCCGGTGTGATTCTCGCTGGCTGTGGTTCAGAGCCTCTTCCGAGAGCCCAGGGAACGGACCCCTGGAGAGGGTGAAGGAGGGTGAGAAAAAGCCCGTGGCTTACGAGAATGCTTTCTGATTTTAGGCTGGCAGGGGGGATAAGAGTGTGGGCTTGGCAGAAGTGAGTTAGGACAGAGATGTTTGGAGGGCCAGGTGCCCGTGAGCAGCCGGGGAGCTGGGATGGGAAGGTGGGTGGGGGGCTATGATGAGGAGTCCGCAGCAGGTGGGTATCCAGGGAGGCCAGGGAAGGTCTTGTGCAGGAATCGACGGAAACACTTGGAACAAAGCCCTGAGGATTCCACACGAGGCACAGTGGGCATCTGAGGGATGGGGGGTGGTTTGCCCAAATTGATGAGCTTATTTGCCCCCACACAACTGGAGAAGGCCTCCTGGGGATTGGAGCAGGGAGAGCGAGTGTGTGGAGGACTCTGGCCTGGCAGGCAAGCCCCGAGCCCGGCTCCGTTCCCACCTGCCCGGGGAGGGCTCCTCCCTCGTGGACAGCAGCCTCACCCTGCTCTCTTCTTGCAGCCCTTTAACCATGGACACAAGGTGGCCAAGTTCTGCTATGCAGACAAGGTGAGTCCCTGGTGACCTGTCCGGTTAGTTGACATCTGCTGCCATGGGGATGAAGGTCAGTTACTGCTTCCCTCTCGGGCCATGGAGGGGGGTGGTGGCTGGCACTGAGGGTGTCCCTGGCCAGGCCAGGTGTGCCAGGGCTCATGTGGGCCTAATGCGAGCTGCCTGGGCCAGGGCTGTGCATGCCCTTATTTGCGCGGGGGGGATTCTGGAAGGCTGAGCCCAGGAAATGGGAGGGCATTGCGGAGAGGAAGAGAGGCAGAGACCTGGCATCAGGCAAGGCCAGCGAGAGGGCGCGGGGTCGAAGCTCTGGTGTCACGTGCTGACGAGGGCAGTTGGCAGCTGGGGTGCCAGCTGCAGGGGTTTGTCTCTGGCCACAGTTCTGGCCCGACAAGGACAAGGTCAGGTCCTGACCTCAAGGGCTGCAGGCCCCGAACAGCGGGTTTGGGAGTGCCAGGCTCCGGGAGCCAGGGAGCCCACAAGGGGAAATGGAGTGAGTCCTTGGCATGCAGACCCACCTGGTAGGCCCCTCGGGCTCCTCCTGACTGGAGGCGGGCAGGCTCTGAGCCTGGGGTGGCCCAGCTGGCTGTGGGACCCGGCGTCTGCTGCTGTCGGAGGGAGGGAGGCAGGGGTCCTCCCTGGGGGGAGTGACCTCCAGATTGCTCCTCTGGGACCCTTCCTGCCACGGGAGGAAGCCCCCAACCTCTCCCCTCTTCATCAGGCGCTGCTCCTCAGAGCCATCGAGGCTGCCTTGGCTGCCAGGAAGGAGTGGGACCTGAAGCCTGTGGCCGACCGGGCACAAGTCTTCCTGAGGGCGGCCGACCTGCTGAGCGGGCCACGCAGGGCCGAGGTCTTGGCCAAGACCATGGTGGGGCAGGTGAGGTGCCCACGGTGCAATGGGGGCTGTGGGGGTCGCACCTCGTCCAGTTCAGCAGACATCGCTATGTGGTCACCAGGACCCACCAGGCCCAGGAGAGAGGACAGCTCAGGTCAGTTCAGTCACTGTCGTGTCTGATTCTTTGCGACCCCATGGACTGCAGCACGCCAGGCCTCCCTGTCCATCACCAACTCCCAGAGCTTACTCAAGCTCATGTCCATTGAGTCGGTGATGCTATCCAGCCATCTCATCCTCTGTCGTCCCCTTCACCTCCTGCCTTCAATCTTTCCCAGCATCAGGGTCTTTTCCAGTGAGTCAGTTCTTTACGTCAGATGGCCAAAGTATTGGAATTTCAGCTTCAACATCAGTCCTTCCAGTGAATATTCAGGACTGATCTCCTTTAGGATGGACTGCTTGGATCTCCTTGCAGTCTAAGGGACTCTCAAGAGTCTTCTCCAACACCACAGTTCAAAAGCATCAATTCTTTGGTGCTCAGCTTTCTTTATAGTCCAACTCTCACATCCGTACATGACCACTGGAAAAACCACAGCCTTGACAGACCCATGTGTATTATTGGCCAGGTGACTTGGACTGCGCTCACATGTCCTCCTCTGTAAGGAGCCCCTCGCGTCTGTCTGTCTCTGCCCTGGGCCAGGCCCTTGTCACGCTTTGCCGGGACTGACAATGGCCCACACGGTCCTCCAGGCTCCGTCAGGCCCCTGCAGCCCTCACCGCTGTCTCTGACACCCCCAGCAGGTCACTCCAGGCGTATGAACCACCGAACTCTCGCTGTCTGGCTGGGAATCATGTCCCAAGTCCTGAGCCTGGCTTCCGGGGCCCTTCCATCCCCACCTCTGTCCAGCTGGCTAGCTGCTGTGCCCTCCCCTGCCAGGCCATCCCGCCCACGATGTCACCAGTCTGGACCTCGCCAGGCTCCTGGGCACCGCAGGCATCCCGACCCCAGTCTCTGGCCCAGGTCCCCCGGCTAGAATGCTCCCTGTCTTCTCCGCCCTGTGAACGTGTTTTATATTTTTATTGGCTGTGCTGGGTCTTTGTTGCTTCGTGGGCTTTTTCTCCAACTGCAGCGGGTGGGGGCTACTCTCTAGTTGTGGGACGCAGGCTTCCCATTGCACTGGCTTCTCTTGTTCTGCACAGGCTCTAGGGCCGTGAGCTCAGTAGTTGGGGCGCCCGGGCTCCAGAGCACAGGCTTAGTCGTTGTGGCTCACGGGCTTAGTTGCTCCGCGGCATGTGGGATCTTCCCGGACCGGGGATCGAACCCGTGTCTCCTGCGCTGGCAGGAGGATTCTTTCCCCCGAGCCACCGGGGGAGGATCCCCTGCTTTCTGAACTCTTTAACAGTCAGGGTCTAGCCCGGGCACACCTCCACTGTGAGACGTCTAGGGCCTCACCAGTCCCAAGGACTGGGCCCACCTTTGTGCCCCTCCCGACTGCTGTTCCTTCCTTAGTTACCGCTCAGGTTGCACTGGGGTGCGGTGATGACTCCGGAAGTGCTTGCTGCCCCTTTACAAGCTTTTTGGGCTTAGCAATCACATGTTAACGTTTTCTGCCTTTCTGGGTCTTGCTCTGTGTCTGCGTGGAGTCACCGAAGCGCCTGATGAGCGCTTTTGGAGTGAATGCTCATTGAGCCGGCAGGCAGCAGTAGGAGCACGGACTGCGGAGGAGCCCAGGGAGACGGTCCCTGTCCACAGTAGGGATCTTGGCCCCGCCCACAGCCCCGGCCCCGCCCACAGCCCCGCCAGGTCGCCAGCCTGTAATGAGAGCGCCCTCTGCTGCACGGAGCCGCTATGACACCCCCACTACCAGCCCAGTGTCTCCCGATTGAGCCGAGCCCCCCTGGGTGGGTGTTGAGTCTCCAGAGGGTCCCAGGGGAGCCACGCCAGGGCAGGAAGAGGCGCACACACTCCAGGACCAAAGGAAGATGCCTCTATTTGGCCTAAGACCTAGGACCTCAGATATGCAGATGACACCACCCTCATGGCAGAAAGTGAAGAAGAACTAAAGAGCCTTTTGATGAAAGTGAAAGAGGAGAGTGAAAAAGTTGGCTGAAAGCTCAGCATTCAGAAAACTAAGATCATGGCATCTGGTCCCATCACCCCATGGCAAATAGATGGGGAAACAGTGGAAAAAGTGGCTGACTTTATTTTTGGGGGCTCCAAAATCACTGCAGATGGTGATTGCAGCCGTGAAATTAAAGGACACTTACTCCTTGGAAGAAAAGTTATGACAAACCTAGACAGCATATTAAAAAGCAGAGACATTACTTTGCCAACAAAGTTCAGTCTAGTCAAGGCTATGGTTTTTCCAGTAGTCATGTATGATGTGAGAGTTGGACTATAAAGAAAGCTGAGTGCCGATACTTTTGAACTGTGGTGTTGGAGAAGACTCTTGAGAGTCTCTTGGACTGCAAGGAGATCCAACCAACCCATCCTAAAGATCAGTCCTGGGTGTTCATTGGAAGGACTGATGTTGAAGCTGAAACTCCAATACTTTGGGTACCTGATGCTAAGAGCTGACTCATTTGAAAAGACCCTGATGCTGGGAAGGATTGAAGGCAGGAGGAGAAGGGGACGACAGAGGATGAAATGGTTGGATGGCATCACCAACTCAATGGACATGGGTTTGGGTGAACTCTGGGAGTTGGTGATGGACAGGGAGGCCTGGCGTGCTGCAGTCCCTGGGGTCGCAGAGTCGGACACGACTGAGCGACTGAACTGAACTGAAGACCCAGGAACTTGTAGGAAGCACAGTGGCCGTGTGGAGCAGGGGGCAAGGGGGCAGGCACAGAGAGGCAGGAAGGAGCAGTTCCCCTTCCCTGGCGGGGCGTCCCGGGCAGGGCGAGCCGCCACCAGCGACCGCGTGTGCAGGGCGGGGCTGCCCGATCCCGGAGAGCCCAGAGGCCTTCCCCAAGGCTGGTGTTTGCAGTCCTCGGGCCCCCTGGTTCATTCTCCCAAACAGACGTGCGCATCATGTGACTGTGGGCACAGGGTCCAGTGTGGGGAGAGGGCTCTCGGGAGGCAGGTCCGCCACCACTGACCCCAGGGCCCTCCCGCCTCGCAGGGGAAGACGGTGATCCAGGCGGAGATCGACGCCGCGGCTGAACTCATCGACTTCTTCCGCTTCAACGCCAAGTTTGCGGTGGAGCTGGAAGGCGAGCAGCCCCTCAGCGTGCCGCCCAGCACCAACAGCGTGCTGTACCGGGGGCTGGAGGTACCGCCTGGGGGTGGCGTGGGCGGGGAGCCGCGGGAAGCCCTGGGCCTGGCCTCACCGCCTCTTCTTCCCCAGGGCTTCGTGGCGGCCATCTCCCCCTTCAACTTCACGGCGATCGGCGGCAACCTGGCAGGGGCTCCCGCCTTGATGGTGAGATGTGGACAGCGGACTGGGGGGTGGCGGGACCGAGTCATCGCTTCCCTCTCAACGGTCAGGAGGCCACGTCGGAGCCCTGGGCCCCAGCCCTTGTTGTGGGCAGAGGCGCACAGTGGAGGCAGCTGGGGGCCATGGAGAGACTTCCAGGGTCAGAGGCTGATCTGGGTCCCCGCGTTGCACCATTCTCCCTGGGTGACCCCAGGCGAGCCCCTGCCCTCCTCTGAGGCCGTTTCCTCATCGGCAGATAGAAATAACAGAAAAGCTTGCGTTACAGGGTTGGGAAGAGCAAGTAAGACTGTGTTAAGACTCGTCTTAGCACCAGGCAGGTCTGCCCGAGGCAGGTTTAGTGTTATGCAGGGGCTGCTGATAATGATGATAGTTACAGCTCACCTTTGAATGCTTGCTCTGTGCCCGGTGGCTTATTTGTCAGAGTTGCGTGGCTAATAGATGATGAAACAGGTAGAGGTTTGGGCTTGGTCTGTCCCGGCGGTCTCGAAGTCGGTGGGCCCCACTGCCGTGGTCAGGATGAAGGTGGCCGTGAGCTCCCGTGACTTGATGGGGGAGCTGCAGCCCTGCCCGCGGGGGGCCTGGGTCACCCAGGGAGCAGCAGGAGGAGGGCTGAGTGGTCGGGGCGGCCGGGTGATCTGGGAGGTGCTCACGCACAGGCCCATCCTCGTGCGTCTGTGCTCAGACAGACCTGCACACACCCAGCGCCCACGTGCCTGCCTCCATCCAGAACATATGCAGACAGAGCCCGTGCGTGCTGGCCCAGCCTCGCCCTGTGGGCGCCCGGCGACTTGGAAACACCCAGGACAGACCTGCCCGAGGGGTGCTGGCAGGACCAGTTGGCACAGACGTCAGGAGGAAAGGAGCCTCGGCCAGAGCGTGGGAACAGATGGGGCAGGGCGTCAGCTCACTCGCGAGGAGTTTGAGGGCCTGGTGCCCAGCCCCTGGGGGAGTGGGGCCGGGTAGGGGGATCCTGGCCTGCAGGGGACCTCCCTGGCGGCTGCACCTTGGGGTAGGGTGGGGGTCGGGGCTGCTGGCCGCCCCCAGCCTTGTGAGTCATCCCCGTGCCTCCCGGGCAGGGCAACGTGGTCCTGTGGAAGCCCAGCGACACCGCCATGCTGGCGAGCTACGCCATCTACCGCGTCCTCAGGGAGGCCGGGCTGCCCCCCAACATCATCCAGTTTGTGCCGGCCGACGGGCCCACCTTCGGAGACACCGTCACCAGCTCAGAGCACCTGTGCGGCATCAACTTCACAGGCAGTGTGCCGTAAGTCCCCGAGGAGGGCTGGGCAGGGTAGCCTGGGATGCTCCCCAGGCCTCCCGAACTCTGTCTGGGAACCGGGGCTGAACTCGGGCCAGGCGCTGACTGTACCCCACTTCTCACTGAGTGGCCCTTGGGTGAGCCCCTTCACCTCTCTGAGCCTCCATGCCTTCACCTGAATGTGCTGATTCCTAGCTTGCAGAGTCACTGTGAGGGTCAGACTAGTGAGTGGACAGGAAGGAGTGTCACGGGCCAGAAGCAGCCTACAGGTATTTGGCGATCCGGATTTTGATGCCACCCCTGTCCCTGGAAAGGACAAAGGGAAGCTTGGGATGAGTCGGAGGAGGAGTCAGGAAGCTGCTTGGAGGAGATGGCGTCTACGCAGAGGCGCAGGCTAGGCAGAGGCAGGGGAGCGGCCCAGGCGGGAGAGCCGCACCTGCAGAGGCGTGAGGCTGACAGGCTTGCGCTCTGGGGGGTGGACGCGGCCCCGTGAGGCTGGAGTGTGCAGCTTGGGGCCGAGGGTCAGGGTGCGCGTGGCACGCGGTTCGATCGCAGCCGCGTGTTCGCGCGCTCAGCTGATGTTTACCGAACCCCGTGCTTGCCGGGCTCTGCTGACGCCAAGGCTGGGCGGTGAACACGTGGAGTGTCAGGGTCCTACCTCTGGGGGGTCGCTTTGTTTTGACTGCACTGGGTCTTAGTTGAGTCATGCAGATCTCGTCCCTCTGGCCAGGCATCAAGCCCAGGCCCCCTGCGTTGGGAGTGTAGAGTCTTAACCACTGGATCATCAGGGAAATGCCTCTTGAGGGATTAGACTTGTGACTGTAGGGCCCTGTGAGCCTGCAAAGGTGTTTGGACTTCATGCGGAAGGTGATAGGAGACATGGAAGGTTACTGCAGGACAGTGAAAGTCACAGCGTTTGTCGCTCAGTCGTGTCCGACTCACTGCAACCCCTTGGACTGTAGCCCGCCAGGCTCCTCCGTCCATGGGATTCTCCAGGCAAGGATGCTGGAGCGGGTTGCCATTTCCTATCCAGGGGATCTTCCCGACCCAGGGATGAAACCCAGGTCTCCCACATTGCAGGCAGATTCTTTAGAGGAAGTGGCTTAATCAATCAGACTTCTGTTTCAAGCAGAGACAGATGGTCGCTCTCCAGTTGGACCTGGCCAGTGGCTCTGTGTTCTTTGAGTCCTAATAGAGATGGACAGTCTTGCACCACCGGGACAGTTTCATGTGAAATCCAAATGGGGCCTCATTTATGAACCCATTCCCACAGGGCCTGCATTTCCGTGTGGTACCATTGGCTGGAGGCGGGTGGGTGGTCTCCGGTTCCCCGCCATCCCGACAGGCCCTGGGTCTCTGCATGCCTGGACAGCCTCTGCCCCTCTGGGACCTGCGTGTGCAGCCTCTGACCAAGATGATGCTCTGGCTGCCCTGAGCACAAGTCTGTCGTGGCTGGGAGCAGGAGACAGGCTAGGAGGACCCAGAGAGGGAGAGCAGACGCCTGAACCCGGGCGGAGAGGTGGCAATCCAGGAGAGATGGGCTGGTTCACGTGAGGAGGCAGCAGGGAGACTCGGTCGCCGTCTGTGGGGCTGGAGGGTCAGTGGGAACGTCCAGACTCGAGGCTGGAGGGGGGCATTGGGGACCCCAGGTGGCTGGGCACCCGGGAGCCTCGGGAAGAAGATGGACCAGAGGCCGGGCACCTTGAGTTTGAGGTCCCCGTGGGGCGTCTGGGCGGAGAGGTCGGGGTCTCTGCTCTGGGCCTCCCAGGTGTCCCGGGCTCACCCGCGGTGGCTTCTCCGCGCTCTGCCTGACCTCGCGCTCCCACCCGCCCCGTCCAAGGTTTGCCGGGTGGCAACGGCCGCGTTAGAATTGCTGAGGAGGGCGGTTTTCCAAAAGGCCCGCTCCGCCGGCCGCGGGCCCCACGGGTCCCTGCCTGTTAGCGGGCGGAGCGGGCCTGGCCCCCATTTGCCATGCTCTGGTGAGCAGTGGGCGCCAAGGTGGGAAAGTCATAAATTAGTATCAGCTGCTGTGTCGCCAGCTCCCTGGTGATTAGCATTTTTATTGTTTTGCGGTGCTGAGGTTGGTCACACTCGGAGCCCGGCGAGGAGGCGGGGGGCCTGAGCTGCCTCTCCCGGGACCCTCCCCGGTCCTCGGGGCTCGAGGCGCTCCCTGCCGACCCTGGTGGTGTCTCTGCCCCATCAGGGAGCCACAGCGTGCCCGGCACTGTCCTCAGCACTGTCCTCAGCACTTGACTCACATCAGAGCCGTCCCAAAACGGCCCCGCCCAGTGGAATTGTTCTTTCCCGTTTCCAGAGTGGCATGAACTTGAGGCCCAGAGAGGTTACATGCTGGGCACAAGATCACACAGCTGTGTGCGCCTGGGTGGGGACTGGAACCCCATGCCCTGGCCTGGAGCGTGGCCCCTCTCTGCACCGCCTTGCCGCCAAGCTTCCCCTTGCTCCCTCCTCCTGGGCCCTGAATGCAGCCCGTTGCCAGCTGCCACCTCCTCCCTGGTGCCCCATCCTCCACCGCCGCCACCGTCAGCCCTGCCGGCCTCCGGCGGGGCTGCCGACCCTGCGCCCCGGCCTCCGGGCGGGCGGGCGGGGAGCAGGCCCCTCACGGCTCAGGCACCTGAGCCTGGCCCCAGCCTCCGGGCGGGCGGGCGGGCAGCAGGCCCCTCACTGTCAGGCACCTGAGCCTGGCGCCCTGATCCCTGCGCTGTTCTCTGCTTTCAGCACCTTCAAACACCTGTGGAAGCAGGTGGCTCAGAACCTGGACCGGTTCCGAACCTTCCCACGCCTGGCCGGAGGTAAGGGCCCCCTCCCCAGCCTTGGCCTTCGTGGGAGAGGAGGCGGCGGAGGGGCTGCCCCCAGAGCTGGGGGCCTCTGCAGGGGCGGAGCCCTCCAGCCTGGAACCCCCGCCCTGGCAGGGCCCGGGGGTTGTTCAGAGCACTTCCGGCTCAGAGCGCACATTTCTTACCCATTCCTCATGCAGCAGGGAAATTACTGTTTGTGCAGAGGCACTTTTTGGAGAGTGGGGATGCAAGGGTGATGAGAGCCGGAGACCCAGCCGTCACCAGCTTCTGTTCCAGCGGTGGGAGGCGGGCAGTAAACAGCGGGATAAATGACGGTCGTGGGGTGAGAAGGGCCGTGGCTCATTAAAGGAGAGCAAAGAGGTGACAGGCAGGGCCGCCCAGAGGCTGGGTGTGGCAGGCGACTGTGACTCCAGCGTGGGGAGCCTCTTCAAGGAGGGAACATTTGAGCGGAAACCTGAACAGTGAAGAGAAACGGGCCTCGCCAAGGTCTGGAGAGCAGACCGTCAGGGTGCGGACACCGTCCAGCGGACCTTCCTGCGAGGATGGACATGGCTTCACCGTGCGGTCCCGTAGGGTAGCCACTCACCACGTGTGGCCGCGGGGTGCTGGAGACGTGACTTGCGTGACTGGGGAAGTGAAAGTTGTGTTTAGTTTTGATTAACTTGAATTTAAACGGCCGCACGAGGCTCCTGCGGCCCCATGTTGCATCGCCCGGATCTAGGCCAAGAGATGGTTAATGGAGAGACCTCGAGGTGGGAATGAGCTTGTGGGTGAAGAAACAAGGCCAGTGTAGCTGAGAAAAGGGATGGGGCGGGGCAGGAGATGGGGCTGAGAGGTCGGCACGGGTGGGTCTTATTGAAATAATAATTTTCCCACAGTTTCGTGGCCAAGGACATTTGGCGTGCACTGTGTTTAAAGCAAAATGGATTCTTTACCTGCAGGCCTTCTCAGAGCCTTTAATCTGCTAATGTGCATTACTCATCGTCAAGAGCCAGGGTTGATGTGTAGTGTTTCTGAAACTCTTTGGGGTACAGAACCCTGTTTTGACAGAGGCCCCAATGGGTCACAGTGCAGTAATGGCAGAGCTGGGGCTGGTGGTTTAGCCTTCTTGCTCCTGGAAGTGAAGTGGGACCCACAGGGAGACTGGACCCCACTCCTGAGCTGGTGGGAGCTTTTTAAAGAATTTTTATTGAAGTATGGTTGATTTACAGTCTTGGGCTACAGTATTTACAAAATTGGGTTGATTTACAGAATTGGGTTAATTTCGGCTATACGGCAAGATGATTCAGTTATACATATGTATATCCTATTTCAAGTTCTTTTCCATTGTGGCTTGTCACAGGATATTGAATATAGTTCCCTGTGCTAGGGACCTTGTTGTTTATTCATCCTATATGTAACAGTTTGCCTCTTAAGCTGGTGGGGCTTTGTTAGGGGTATCAGGGCAGGTGACTCTGCTCAGGGCCAGCTGTAGCATCTCTAACTTCCAGCCTCTCAGCACACCCCAGTCCAGCCTTCATAAGCCCAGAAGCAGAGTCCCCTGGGTCAGCTGTCCATGGTTTTCTGTTCAGTCGCCTTCCCACCGTCTCCCTGAGGGAGAAAGACCGCTGCCTACTCCACCACTTCCCAACCTTGAGTACGTGCCTTAGTCTCTACATGCCTCAGTCTTCTTGTCTTTAAAATGGGATCATAACAGGAGGTTGCCGTGAGGCTTCGGTGAAAAGGGGCACGGAGTGCTTTGAACTGAGTCTGGCGGGTAGTGAGTGTTTTGTAACACGAGCTGCTGTTGGCTGATGTTTAACTGAATGAAGAAACTGATAAGGCCCGGATAGTGGCGTGATTCCCTGGGCTTCCTCACACCACGGGGACCAGGGAGGGGTGTCCTCCTGCCACGGGGAGGAAAGAGGAGCCAGCCCTGATCGTGGACCCGGGTGGGGGTCAGGGGAAGGCTCAAAGGAAGCTGCGCCCGCTGCCGGGAGTGGCCAAGCTTAGGGGAGCCTTGGGTTCTGGCCCTTCCTCGGCCTTATTTATGTTGGGCAGCATTCCCACCCCAGACTCAGTTTTCTCGTCTGTGAAGTGGGAAAGCTGGTCCCGACGCCCCCTGGTGCCCTTTGCCCGTGCCTGGGCCTGCGTCTTCCTGTCTGTAGAGTGGGGGGACAGGCCTGGCTGGCCACTGTCCAGGGCGCGCAGCTTCTCACGGCCTCCTCTGCTCGTCCCAGGGGCTGGTCATGGGGCTCTGTGCGCAGGAGCAGGCCTTGTGTTGGGCCCCGGGGCTGGCCTAACGCGCGCCCCCTCCCTTCCTGCCCCATAGAGTGCGGGGGCAAGAACTTCCACTTCGTGCACTGCTCAGCTGACGTGGACAGCGTGGTGAGCGGGACCCTGCGCTCGGCCTTCGAGTATGGCGGCCAGAAGTGCTCGGCCTGCTCCCGCCTTTATGTACCCCGCTCGCTGTGGCCGCAGATCAAAGGGCAGCTGCTGGAGGGGCTCCGTGGGATCAAAGTGGGCAACGTGAGTGGCCCAGCGGGGGGCTGATGGGATTGGCTGCCTGCCGGGGGGCGCGGTGTGCGAGGGGGGCGCGGTGTGCGAGGGGGGCGCTCCCCTGGTCTCGGCCCACAGCCACCTCCTCTCTATCCGTGTCCCTTGCCTCCAGCCTGCAGAGGATTTTGGGACCTTCTTCTCTGCCGTGATTGATGCCAAGGTACGGGAGTTCCGGGGGGTGCCAGGCCTGGGCTGGGTGGGGGGGGGGAAGAGTGACCCAGATCTGCTTCGAGCAGGGTAGTCTGAGAGCCACGCACACAGTCCCTGCCGCTCCCGCCAGCCCTGGAAGGAATAGAAGCATCCCTCCCCAGAGAGGAGCTCGCCTCCTGCACACCCTGCCACCAGGCCCCCTTAAAGTGCCCGTGTTCACACATACTCTTACACATAGGCCCGCACGCATGCACACATACCCCTGAACCCAGGTACACGCATAGCTGTGAACACATTCATGTAGACCTCTGGGGGGGTCATGCACATAGATCCACCCATGTAAACACATGTACACCCACACACGTCTCCATACGTAGACAAATCTGACATGTGTGCACATGGGTATTGCGTGCATGTATGCACACACGTGTGTAGGCACATGTGTGGGTCTGCATTGCAGAAACATATAATGCACAAGACTCACAGCCTTAAACCTAAAGACACGTTTATGTATCTGTATATTTGCATGATGTTTATATCTAAGTATACATGTTCTGGGACTTCCCTGGTGGCTCAGAGGGTAAAGCGTCTGCCTGCAATGCAGGAGACCCGGGTTCACTCCCTGGGTCAGGAAGATCTTGTGGAGAAGGAAATGGCAACCCACTCCAGTACTCTTGCCTGGAAAATCCCATGGACAGAGGGGCCTGCTCGACTGCAGTCCATGGGGTCACGCAGACTCGGACACGAGTGAGCGCCTTCCCTTTCTTTCTCTCTCTCTCTGTACGTGTTCTGACACGCACACACACACGAGCCTGGACATGCGCTCCTGTTTCTGCCCTGCTCGGCCAGGCCCTGTTTGCTGCCAGCCACCCCGTCCCCCAGCCCCGCCATTGCCCGCTTCAGAATCTGGGGCAGCTGTGTTGGGGGCTTCTGCTGGGAACGGCCTCCAGCTGGCCCCTGACACCCCCCACCCCGATCCTGCAGTCCTTCGGCCGCATCCGCAAGTGGCTGGAGCACGCCCGCTCCTCGCCCAGCCTCACCATCCTGGCCGGGGGCCAGTGTGACGACTCTGTGGGCTACTTTGTGGAGCCCTGCATCATCGAGAGCAAGGACCCCCAGGACCCCATCATGAAGGAGGTGACGGCGGGAGGCGGGTAGGGCTGGGAGGAGGCAGCGTCTCCGCGTGCTTCCTGGGGCGTCATCCCGTCTCACAGCTGAGGACGGCGCTGCCCTGCCAGGGGCCTGCCTCACCCCCAGGGAGAGCAGAGCCAGGCCCTGCGCTCAGGCCCCCAGACCCCAGATCCCTGACGCTGCCGGCTGGCCTGACGCCACAGCGCTGACCGCCTGCTGCCCGGAGGCCCCTACAGCGCTCTCAGCTTCTCCTGTCTGTGGAGTCTTAAGTGGGGCGGGGAGTTGGTGGGGACGAGGTTTGCTGTGTTGCTCCCATTGTGCAGAGGAGAAGCTGCGTTTCTGAGGGGTCGGGGCAGTCGCCCAGGATGACAGTGCAAGGGCAAGGGGTCTTCCCCCAGCCCCCGAGTGCTGTCGCGGGGCCGCTCCCTGGCCGGCTGCTGCCGGAAGTGTCCCCCTTCCCAGGGCCTGGAATCTTAGCTCTGGGGGTGGGTCTGGCTGGCAGGGAGGCCAGAGGGTGCTCCGGTCTTCTGCCGGGTGCGGCGGGGTGGGCGGGGTGGGCGGGGCGGGACCTGTCCTGGAGAGAACCCAGCGGGCTGAGAAGGGGGCCGGGAGCGGCGGAGGCCTCGGGGCGGGTCCAGGCGGCCCGACCCTGGGGCTTCCCTCCAGGAGATCTTCGGTCCTGTGCTGGCCGCGTACGTCTACCCAGACGAGGACTACCAGGAGACGCTGCGGCTCGTGGACAGCACCAGCAGCTACGGCCTCACGGGGGCAGTGTTCGCCCAGGACAGGTGAGCGGCCTCGGCCTCGGCGCTAGTCCTGACATCCCGGTCCCCGGAGACGGCCCCCTCCCCGACGCGGATCCCTGCTCTCCGTGCCCCTCGCTCCGCCCGGCCGGCAGGTAGACAGAGGCCGCAGGCGCCTTGTTAAAGCCTTGATGCTGGGGCCACACTGTTGGCTGCTGAAGCCAGGTCTCCAGGGTTGGGGCCCAGCAGTCAGCGCCTGTGACCCGCCGCCCAGTCTGATGGGGCTCAGGGCGGAAGGCAGAGCTTGGACCCTGGCGCTCCACTTGTCTGGCAGAGGCAGGATTCCCCGCTGGGCGCCCTGACGCTGGACCTGAGGCTTTGTCCTGTCTTTTCTCCGTTGCACTGGTTGCCTCCCTGCGTCTGCCTCTTAAGAGGGGAAGGCCGGGTTGGAACCTGAGGGGGCAGGCTGGGGCTCGGGGGGTTCCCGAGCTGCCGAGGGCAGGGGCCCAGGGCTGGCGGCTGGCCCCGTGCTCACTGGGGGGCCCGTGTGAGCTGGGGAGGGCTGCTGGAGGATTGGCCCTGGGGCAGGGACGAGCCGGCCGCCCTCTTACTGCGGCCCTGCCGTGTAGGGACGTTCTCCGGGAGGCCACAGCGCTGCTGAGGAATGCTGCTGGCAACTTCTACATCAACGACAAGTCCACCGGCTCGGTGGTGGGCCAGCAGCCCTTCGGGGGGGCCCGAGCCTCGGGTGAGTGGGTCCTCCTTTCTAGGAGGGGGCTGAGCTCCTGGGGGAGACCCTTGCTGCTTCATCTCGAGGATGTTAAGAGGCACGGAGGGCCAGGCCCCATGCTGACGCAGAGTCCTGCCCACCGCCCCCTTCCCATTTTACAGAGGGGAAAACTGAGGCCCAGGGAGGTGAAGTGATTGGCCCAAGGGCGCATGGCCAGGAAGTGGTCCTGGGTGGCTCAGCGGTAAAGAATCCGCCTGCCAGTGCAGGAGACGGGGGTTTGATCCCTGGGCCGGGAAGATCCCCCAGAGGAGGACGCGGCAACTCGCTCGCGGTCTTGCCTGGGAAACCCCGTGGACGAAGGAGCCTGGCTCTTGGTCCGTGCGATCAGAAAGAGGTGGACGCGACTTAGCCACTAGCCACGACTTGCCATGCCCCAGGCCGTTGCAGCCCGACCCCGCCCGCTACAGATGGGGAGGCTGAGGCTTGGCGAGGGGCAGGGACTTGCCAGAGGCCCCGGTGCCTGGTGGCAGAGCCGGGGCCAGAACCTCAGCCTCTCAGCTCCCCGTCCAGTGCCCTCCACAGTGCTTTCCCGTCTCGGCCACGCCTTGCAGGGGCTGCGCAGGGGCCTGGGGAGCCTGGGCATCCTGCCCACTCGCCGGCTCCTGCCCCCGCCGACCGCCGGCTGAGTGCCCTCTGCCCTGAGGTGCTCGGGGAGCCCCGGCTGCCGTGTAGGGGCTAGCTTGGCTGCTGGCCGCCCCGTTCATTCCGTCCGCTCCTCCCCGCTCCTTCTCCCTTCTACGCAGAGCTGTTGTACCTTTTGGGGGACAAACAGCTGTCTTTCCACAGGGACTAACGACAAGCCGGGCGGCCCCCACTATGTCCTGCGGTGGACGTCGCCCCAGGTCATCAAGGAGACACACGGGCCTCTGGGGGACTGGCGCTACCCGTACATGCAGTGAGCCCCGCTCGGCGCCTCCGCCGTCCACCTGTCCATCCGTCCAGAAGACTGACCTCAGTGCACTGACCACGCCCCACGCTTCCACCCTGCTCCCCAGGGGGCGACCCTCTTTGTAGGCCTGAGTCTTGCCCCCTGCCCCACACTGGCCTGCTTCCTGGCCTGTCCCCCCACCTCAGAGTCAGGTGTGGGCTCTGGGTTGAGATCACGCTGTCGGGAGGAATAGGGCTGCCAGCTGTGCTCCCAAAGAGTGTCCTAGACATTCCCCCTCGTGGGTGTGACCTCGGTGCCGACTGCTTCTACACCGGTCCCCTTCTCGCTCCTCTCCGCTGTGTCCCGGGTCTCAGGGGTCTGGGGAGGGGCAGTGGAGTAGCTCCTGGATCTGTGGGAGGAGGAGGCAGCTCTGGGCTCCCTGGCACGCCTCACCCACCGGGGCGCCTGGCTCCTCCGGTCACCAGGGTTAGGGGGGACCAGGGTGGCCTGTGGGGCTGCCACGTTGTGGTCACAGGTCGTGGGGGGACCAGCCGGCTTTGCCCTGCTTGGTTCGTGCTGCTCACTCGCCCTTTGCCCAGACGCACCAGTGCCAGCAGGTACCCACCTGTGCCGGCAGATACCTGCGCGCAACCAGACGCCTTAGACCCTGTGTGCCTTGCTCCCAAGTGCCTGGACTCATCAGAGGCCCTCAGATTCCTGGCCGTCTCCAGGCGGTGGGACTGGGGGGCTTCTGCAGTCCACCTGCCAGGGTGCCGTCCTTTCTGCCGGTCCTGTGAGGTTGGCAGACCTTGAGGGCCCTTCCTACCGCTTCCTCAGCTCTTGGGTCCTGCCTCGAGAGCCTCTGTTGGCCTGGGGCTTCCTGCAGGAGCTCAGTGCCCACTGGCCCAGGTAGATGTTGCCCCTGCCGTCCCCAGCGCCCCGAGACCTCACCTCGGGTCCCCGTCCGGCCTGGCTGAGGCTCACTTATAGAATCGTCCCTCCTTGGCATGTTCGTGGCTCTGTGTGGAGTGGCCTGTCGGAGTCCTGTTCCTTCATGCAGCTAATCGGGGGGCACTCAGATGCATCCTGGGTGGTCAGGGAATTGTAAGTGGCGACTCTGGGGGCAGTTTCTAGGGGCCCTCCTCAGGCGCGGCTGGTGTGGGGCCCCCGTGGGGCTGGAGTGGCCGCTCCCCGAGTGCACGTTCACACGCCGTGGCCGCAGTCAGGGGCGTTTCTCACAGGGGGGCCAGGACGGGCGGCGGGCAGGCCGGAGGTATTCCTGGTTCTACTAGCTCTGCGCTGGGAGGTGGCGGTGGGATTTGCACTGACACCGCCCAATAAAATGCCTCTTCCTGAGCTGGACTGGTGGCCTTTCTGGTGGGAGCGGTGGGGGCTGGTCACCTTCCCGTCCGCTGAGATTGCCAACGTTCACTAGGTGTCGGGGCCACCGTGCCCCAGATGTGATGGAAGGGTGAGCCCTGCTGGCAGGAAGTCCTACGTGAGTGGCGGGAACTCTGGGGCCGGAGGGCCTGGGTTCAAATCCCAGCTCTGAAAAGTTGGGCAGTCGTCTCTGACTGTCTCTTCATAGATGGAAATAACCACCACCCCCCCCACACACACACAGTCTTGAGAATTCAATGAGTTAATTCACAGAAGTGCTCAGAGCAATGCCAGTTATAGAATTAATGATTCAGCAATGTTAACCTCTTTACCCATTGTTGTAACAACCACAATTAAGTGCTGTGATAGTTAAGGTCATGGGTCAGCTTGGCTGGCTCATGATGCCCAGGTGTCTATTTCAGCATTATTCTGGATGTTTCCATGGAGGTGTTGTTTGGATGAGATTAACAGGAGACGTAAGAGGCATGGGTTTGATCCCTGGGTCAGGAAGATCCCCTGGAGGAGACCATGGTAACCCACTCCAGTGTTCTTGCTTGGAGAATCCCGTGGATGGAGGAGCCTGGCGGGCTACAGTCCATGGGGTCACACAGTCAAACACGACAGAAGTGACTTAGCACGCTTGTACAACATTTAAATCTGTGGGCTTTGAGGAAAGCAGATTACTGTCCATAACGTGAGTGGGCCATATCCAATTAGTTGAAGACCTGAACAGAACAAAGACTGACCTCCCCCTGCAGACGTGCCCGTGAGCAGGAAGGAACTTGCCAGCGGCTGCCTTTGGACTCAGCCGCTAGTCCCTGCGTCTCTGGCTTCCCAGCCAGCACTGTACACTTTGGACTTTCCAGCCTCCGTGGTCATGTGGGCTTGCTCCTTACAATAAAGCTTGCCCTGTGTCTCTGCGCGTCTCCCTAGAGGTTCTGCTTTTCTTCAGAACCCTGACTCCTACACGTGCCGAAGCCTTTGCATCTGTTTTCTTCACGCACAGCCATCTTATGAAGAAGTGCTGCCTTGCCCCCATTTTGCAGATGAGGACACAGGTGCGGAAAAGTGAAGGGACTTGGCAAGCTGTGGCATCCCCAGGCAGGAAACCCAGGCCTGTGTGCTTCCACCCGGATGTCCACACGGCTGCAGACGCCCCGAGCACAGTCCTGACGTCCCACCTCGACACCCTCTACCTGTGCCGGGGCTTCTCCAGCCTCAGGTGCGACACTCCCCGGGAGCTGCAATCACATGGCAAGTGTTAGAACCACGTGCCAGGCCCCATGGGCGTCCCCAGTGGCTCAGCAGGTAAAGAGGAATCGCTCACTGGCCAGGTGATGTGATGGGGTGCAACCATTGTCAGTTATCTTGAGCCCAAACTCCACCTGAATCAGCTGACTTAGAGGGGAGACCCGTGCATCCCCAGCTTGTCTTCACCCCTAGATAATGGAGACGGAGGTGTTCCTGAACCTCACAGACATCTGCCACCCCCGTCTCAGGCGCTGTTGGTTAGCGCTGTTGGTCTGAGGATCTTAGAACTGGAGGGAGGGGAAGGGACACAACCCTGGGCAGAGCCCCAACCCTGGCTCACTCAGGGCTGCTGCTGATGTGTGCCAGGGCAGCTGGAGTCAGGGATGGAGGGGGGTGGAGTCAGGGAGAGAGGGGGGTGGAGTCAGGAGAGAGTTGGGGGTGGAGTCAGGAGAGGTGGGGAGGGAGTCAGGAGAGAGGGGGGTGGAGTCAGGAGTGGGGGAGGAGTTGGGGGAGGGAGTCAGGAGAGGGGGTGGAGTCAGGAGAGAGTGGGTGGAGTCAGGAGAGAGGGGGGTGGAGTCAGGAGAGAGGGGGGTGGAGTCAGGAGGGGGGAGGGAGTCAGGAGTGGGGGAGGAGTTGGGGGAGGGAGTCAGGAGAGGGGGTGGAGTCAGGAGAGAGGGGGTGGAGTCAGGAGAGAGGGGGGTGGAGTCAGGAGGGGGGGGAGGGAGTCAGGAGTGGGGGTGGAGTCGGGGGGGGAGGGAGTCAGGAGAGAGGGGGGTGGAGTCAGGAGGGGGGGGAGGGAGTCAGGAGTGGGGGAGGAGTTGGGGGAGGGAGTCAGGAGAGGGGGTCGAGTCAGGAGAGAGGGGGTGGAGTCAGGAGAGAGGGGGGTGGAGTCAGGAGAGAGGGGGGTGGAGTCAGGAGGGGGGAGGGAGTCAGGAGTGGGGGAGGAGTTGGGGGAGTCAGGAGAGAGGGGGTGGAGTCAGGAGAGAGGGGGTGGAGTCAGGAGAGAGGGGGGTGGAGTCAGGAGAGAGTGGGGGGTGGAGTCAGGAGAGGGGGGAGGGAGTCAGGAGTGGGGGTGGAGTCGGGGGGGGAGGGAGTCAGGAGAGAGGGGGTGGAGTCAGGAGAGAGTGGGGGTGGAGTCAGGAGAGAGTGGGGGTGGAGTCAGGAGAGAGGGGGGTGGAGTCAGGAGGGGGGGAGGGAGTCAGGAGTGGGGGAGGAGTTGGGGGAGGGAGTCAGGAGAGAGGGGGTGGAGTCAGGAGAGAGGGGGGTGGAGTCAGGAGAGAGTGGGGGGTGGAGTCAGGAGAGGGGGGAGGGAGTCAGGAGTGGGGGTGGAGTCGGGGGGGGAGGGAGTCAGGAGAGAGGGGGTGGAGTCAGGAGAGAGTGGGGGTGGAGTCAGGAGAGAGTGGGGGTGGAGTCAGGAGAGAGGGGGGTGGAGTCAGGAGGGGGGGAGGGAGTCAGGAGTGGGGGAGGAGTTGGGGGAGGGAGTCAGGAGAGAGGGGGTGGAGTCAGGAGAGAGGGGGGTGGAGTCAGGAGAGAGGGGGGTGGAGTCAGGAGGGGGGGAGGGAGTCAGGAGTGGGGGAGGAGTTGGGGGAGGGAGTCAGGAGAGAGGGGGTGGAGTCAGGAGAGAGGGGGGTGGAGTCAGGAGAGAGTGGGGTGGAGTCAGGAGAGAGGGGGGTGGAGTCAGGAGGGGGGGAGGGAGTCAGGAGTGGGGGAGGAGTTGGGGGAGGGAGTCAGGAGAGAGGGGGTGGAGTCAGGAGAGAGTGGGGTGGAGTCAGGAGAGAGGGGGGTGGAGTCAGGAGAGAGGGGGTGGAGTCAGGAGAGAGTGGGGGTGGAGTCAGGAGAGAGGGGGGTGGAGTCAGGAGGGGGGGAGGGAGTCAGGAGTGGGGGAGGAGTTGGGGCAGGGAGTTAGGAGAGAGGGGGTGGAGTCAGGAGAGAGGGGGTGGAGTCAGGAGAGAGGGGGGTGGAGTCAGGAGGGGGGGAGGGAGTCAGGAGAGAGGGGGTGGAGTCGGGGGGGGAGGGAGTCAGGAGAGAGGGGGTGGAGTCGGGGGGGGAGGGAGTCAGGAGTGGGGGAGGAGTTGGGGGAGGGAGTCAGGAGTGGGGGTGGAGTCAGGAGAGGGGGGGTGGAGTCAGGAGTGGGGGTGGAGTCAGGAGAGGGGGGGAGGGAGTCAGGAGTGGGGGTGGAGTCAGGAGAGGGGGGGAGGGAGTCAGGAGTGGGGGTGGAGTCAGGAGAGAGCGGGAGCTCAGGGAAGGGACGCAGCTACAGTTTGTAGAAGCGGATACAGAGGCCCTGTTATCGTTTCTGAACGAATGGAGTGACTTATTCAAGGGCGCACTGAGACAGCTGGCTGCTCACTGGCCAAGTGCTTCCCTGTCAGCTTCGGTAGAGCCCTGACGTTGAGGTTG